TGAAATATTGAAACGGATGGCGTGATGGCACAAAACACAAAAACCTTGGATGCACCGCGAGATGTGCAGTTCGTGACCACTCGTAATCATTCAGACAAAAACTGCAAGTACCTTGGAACCCACAGTGGCTCTGTTACAGTACAGCTTGGCGTTGGTCTTGATGTTGTTGGGGTCTATTGTCAGCGCCTCCGAGTAGAGCACGTAGGCGGCGTCAAAGCTGCCCTCCTTGAAGGCCTTGTTGCCCTCCTCCTTCTTGGCCTTCAGTGCCTTGGCGTTCTGAACAGAACCCAGAGAGTGTGTTGAAAATCTCCGATACAAGTAGTGAACCCTTGATGAAAAAAAACAAAACAAAAAAACTCTCCAATACTGACTCTGCAAGCAAGCCGCGCTTTCTCGTGGTCCGGAGCCATGCGCAGGGCCTGCACGAAGAACTGGACTGCCTTGTCTATGCAGTCCTCGTAGTACAGACAAAGGCCGCGTACGTACAGCGCATCTGCGTTGGTGGAGTCCATTCTTAAAATGTCACTACGGGTGAGGAAAAACAGCATTTAAAACATGGCTGCTAGTAAATGGCCGCAATGACCACCCGTTATTTGTCATCGTCGTCACGTCAACAAACCTGGCCACGGACTGAGCTTCCGGGTAGCGTCCCAGCAGGGCCAAGCACTCGGCTTTCAGTATCTTGAACCGATGGCATGCCGAGGCCGACTCCAAAGCTCGGTCCATGCAGAAGACCACCTGAAGGCACACACGTGATGACGGAACATCACAAACCCCCCCCACCCCAGTGAGGGTCTTTAAACTCACCATGCGGTAGTCTCGCTTCTCGAAGCCGATCTCTGCCATCCGCTCGTATTCCAGGATGGACTCGGCGCTCTTGAGCTGAAAAAGTCATTTTCGGGGAGGAGTCTTTTCATTTGAAAGTGTCACCTTACAATCGGGACACAGACCAGATTCGGTGCCGGTGTCCTTTCTAAAAATTAGCAGTCTTTCTTACAAAGGCCGCGTACGTACAGCGCATCTGCGTTGGTGGAGTCCATTCTTAAAATGTCACTACGAGTGAGGGAAAAACAGCATTTAAAACATGGCTGCTAGTAAATGGCCGCAATGACCCCCCGTTATTTGTCATCGCCGTCGCGTCAACAGACCTGGCTACGGACTGAGCTTCCGGGTAGCGTCCCAGCAGTGCCAAGCACTCGGCTTTCAGTATCTTGAACCGATGGCATGCCGAGGCCGACTCCAAAGCTCGGTCCATGCAGAAGACCACCTGAAGGCACACACGTGATGACGGAACGTCACAACCCCCCCCCCACCCTGGTGAGGGTCTTTCAACTCACCATGCGGTAGTCTCTCTTCTCGAAGCCGATCTCTGCCATCCGCTCGTATTCCAGGATGGACTCGGCACTCTTGAGCTGAAAAAGTCATTTTCGGGGAGGAGTCTTTTCATTTGAAAGTGTCACCTTACAATCGGGACACAGACCAGATTCGGTGCCGGTGTCCTTTCTAAAAATTAGCAGTCTTTCTTTTGTTTTTCACTTCTACGGGATGAACATGAATGAAATTGGAAATTGCCTCAATTGCATTCAATCAAGCACCAGAACAACAACTGACCTCCTGCTGGGCTTGGCTATTGTCTGGCTCCAACTCTAGGACCTTCTGGAAGCAGCGCGACGCCGCCATAGCGTTGCCGAGGGACAGATGGCACTTGCCCTCTCGCAGATGCCCCTGAGAGCCACACGACATTACTCGTGAAACAAAACAAGACATGAGATGCTCCTACGGTGCTACGACTTCCTCAATGCACCTTCATGAAGGAATTGTCCAGCCTCACAGCTTGCTGGGAATCCTCCAAAGCCTCGCGGTACCGACACAGCATCATCAGCGTGGCCGCTCGGTTGCCGTAGTAACTGGCGTTCTTTGGACACATGTCTGCATGCAAAAAAATAAAATCCAGAGCAAACAGAGTAGAAATGAAATTAGCTCCACTAAGAAAGTAATGGTAAAGTCCATTCATATCATGTACCGATGGCCTTGGTGTAATAATTGAAGGCTTCTGCATAATCCTTCTGGATGTAGAAAGCGTTGCCTTGCTCTTTGTAGCCATCTGCTTCCCTACAGTGGACACAAATATATTTTATTTCGAAGTAAAACAAATAAAAGTGATCTTAAAGCTCTTACCGTAAGAGAGAGCACAACCACAAAACACTTAGATTAGATAGTACTTAGATTCCAGTAATGGATGAAAACCCCGCTTCAATCAGCGCTTGGTCGATCAGTTTTTCGAAGTTTCCTGTCATTTGTCAACAAAATGAGCGTCCGTCAGTGACCACTACAGCTCTCTGTCACTCAACAGAGGAGACAGAGTGAGGGAGAAAAACCAATGAACTGAATGCCGCTAGTTTTGCCACTTGTTTAGAAAAAAGAAAAATTTAATTGGGTCTGAAAAGATGTTACATCCAGCGACAGAGACTTATGGAAACACTGAGCAAGAACTGTTCTTAGGGGAAGGCGCAATTTGATTGGTTGGTAGCATCTCATGGGGGGGCTGTGCCTGCAAGAAGCAGAAATTTAGCAGAAAATCTCGACAGCTCAATGTTCCCCATTGAGGGCAGCTGAAAACAGAGATGCATGTCTGTTTAAACCATTTGCATTAACACACAAGGCAGAGAGCTGGATGTAGAAAGCGTTGCCTTGCTCTTTGTAGCCATCTGCTTCCCTACAGTGGACACAAATATATTTTATTTCGAAGTAAAACAAATAAAAGTGATCTTAAAGCTCTTACCGTAAGAGAGAGCACAACCACAAAACACTTAGATTAGATAGTACTTAGATTCCAGTAATGGATGAAAACCCCGCTTCAATCAGCGCTTGGTCGATCAGTTTTTCGAAGTTTCCTGTCATTTGTCAACAAAATGAGCGTCCGTCAGTGACCACTACAGCTCTCTGTCACTCAACAGAGGAGACAGAGTGAGGGAGAAAAACCAATGAACTGAATGCCGCTAGTTTTGCCACTTGTTTAGAAAAAAGAAACAATTTAATTGGGTCTGAAAAGATGTTACATCCAGCGACAGAGACTTATGGAAACACTGAGCAAGAACTGTTCTTAGGGGAAGGGGCAATTTGATTGGTTGGTAGCATCTCATGGGGGGGCTGTGCCTGCAAGAAGCAGAAATTTAGCAGAAAATCTCGACAGCTCAATGTTCCCCATTGAGGGCAGCTGAAAACAGAGATGCATGTCTGTTTAAACCATTTGCATTAACACACAAGGCAGAGAGAAGCAGAAGGAGGAAAAAGTATTTTCCAGGACAACGCAAGCTTTTCTAGGACATTAAAAAAATTGTTTTCATTTTCCATGACTGGAATTTTCATTTTCCAGGTTTTCCAGGATGGGTCACCATTTTTGTGTTGAATCAAAATAAAGCATCTGCTTTTACTTTGGATAACAGTGATCAACATTTTTGCCAATTTTATGGCATAGTACGAAACAAACCAAGAAATAAATCATGATTAATTCCACTGCTTTAACTACAAATAGTTTTTTGCCGTGGTATTGGCAACTAAATACTTAGCGCAGGTATAGTATCAAAGTCCGATTTTTGGTAATCTAATAACATTAGTAGGCGGTAGCACCATCAGTGACTGGAATTTTAAGTTTCATTTTCCACTGCTGACTTTCACTTTTCAAAATGTAAGGCTGTGAACGGACAGCGACAAGGTCCAAGTAATGCGTCCACTCGTTGGCTAAACATAGAAAGCTGCCAATGAACACATGACACCAAGCACGCCGCTCACTCACTCCCTCACTGTGGCTGACTGCCATGACTTTTTTGGGAAAGCCTGTCATTGATAGTTTGAACGTCACTCAGAGCTTTCGAGAATGACCTTCTCACAAAAGAAAAAAAAAAAACGGGAAAAAAGGAACTGACAACTTCACCACGTTAGTGTCAGGCACATGGAGGCTGTCTGAGTACGTAATTGGAGGACAATAACACGAACGACTCCATGTAGCCAAATAGCGGCTAGCTTTGCTAGTTCTCGTGACACGATGCCACAACTCGGAGGCGTGCGGGTTTTAAACAGAACCCAAAGACGTCGCCGGGGTTACATTTCGGCCGCTGTCAGCGCGTCCTACCGTTCCAGTTCATCGTCGCTGAGGAATTCGATGTCAGGATCCATGTTCACAGTATCGCACCGCTCCGCCGCCATTTTGACGTGAATGTGAAGGGGCGGGGTCACATGCTGCAGTTGTTCTGACGCCATCGTAAACAGGAAGTTATTACTCTTGTCGGGTTCAATTAAAAAAAAAACTACAATCTATTTTTAGGAGAGACATTGTTGGTGTTTTATGCTTATACGTGAAAAATTGAATTTATTATATTTCTTTCATGTTTTTTTTTATTTTTTTGAGTGTCTACTTCTCGTTCATACATACGGCTGGCACGCGCGCAACCCTACGTCACTACAACTCTCACTTCCGGACTCCGAGGTAAGCGTCAACACACACCTCTCCGCGTTCAGCTATTTCATATTTTATGTGATATGTTTGATCTCACCTTGCACACATTGGCGTGTTTAGTTTCAAAGACGCGCTTTATTATGAGCTATTAATTTCGAGACATTAGCGATTCGCTATGTTACTGGTGCTTTGTGGGAGCTAACGCTAAGCTAGTTTGTTGTTTCATGGAGGAGTTTAACGAGCGAGCGAACGCCGAAGATCCGTCGTGGAATGTTTGTCAATCTGATTTTTTTTTGTCCGAGAGCAGAGAGGGGAGCGTCGTCATGGGCAAAAGCTGCAAAGTGGTGGTGTGCGGCCAGGCTGCAGTTGGTAAAACGGCCGTGTTGGAGCAGCTACTATACGCCAATCATGTCACAGGTACCTACTCATTATCACTTTAAGACAAGCCCATCTGTTACTTGCTTGACAATCACGAGATGAATTCTGGGCCTTTTCGTGTGCTTACACTAGGGCTGAGCAACGTATAGCTCACAGCCAGGGGCGTAGACATCATTTCAGAAGTGGGGATATTATCTAGAAATAAGCTTAATAGAACGAGAAGGCCATACTTGCAACTGGCTGACAGCCATTTAAAAGTGTACCCCACCTCTTGCTCCAAGTCTGCTGGGATAAGCTCCTGCACACCTGTGACCCATAAACACCGTTGAAAATGGATAAATGAAGATGCAAATGTATCTTCCTGCACCGTACTTTGCGTGGTCTCACTCATCTTCTGTCAGGTTCAGATCCGATGGAGACACTGGAGGACATCTACATCGGCTCCATCGAGACCGACCGGGGCACCCGTGAGCAGGTGCGCTTCTACGACACCCGGGGGCTTCGCGACGGCATGGAGTTCCCTCGCCACTACTACAGTTTCGCAGACGGCTTTGTGCTTGTCTACAGCATCGACAGCAAGGAATCCTTCAAGCGCATGGAGGCCCTCAAGAAGGACATTGACCGGCACAGAGATAAGAAGGAGGTACATTTTCACTATTTGCATCACCGTGTATGTTTGTCTCGTCATCTTCTATGAACCAAGAATTGTATCGTAACTATTAAAAGTATATGTTAGACACACTGTAAGTGCACAAAGTAGGCTGAAGAATGCTGTGTCGGCTACGTAGGTGACCATCGTGGTCCTGGGCAACAAGCTGGACAAGCAGGAGGAGCGACGCGTGGACGCCAACATGGCGCAGAACTGGGCCAAGAACGAGAAGGTACGCCTATGGGAGCTGTCGGTGGCTGACCGCCGTACGCTCATCGAGCCCTTCGTGTACCTGGCCAGTAAAATGACGCAGCCGCAGAGCAAGTCTACCTTCCCGCTCAGCCGTAACAAGAACAAGGGCAGCGGGCCCACGGACGGCTAAAGGACTGATGGGCTAAAACGCCATGTACAGAATCGGGGGGCGGGTAGCGGGGTATCCTTCTTCCTTTTTTTTTGTTGTTTTTTTTTACACATACATTAAATGTTTCAGATAATTGTGCTTTCATGTAAGTACTTGTGGTGGGTGGTAGTACGCGATACGCCTTCTCTGCTTGTTACGTCAGACTGCGTTAATTTATTCCCAACAGTCTAAGCTCTTCTCAACTCAACTCAACTCAACTGTATTTATTGAGCACTTTCAAACAGCCATCGCTGCAGACAAAGTGCTGTACATGGAGCAACTAACATATACAACAGTAAAGCAACAAATCGGTAACAAAGACGGTAGAAAGCACCGAACAGCAAAATCAAGAACAAATCTGAGTCATGCTGAGTCAAATGCCAAAGAATACAAGTGAGTTTGAGGCGGGTTTTAAAGATGGGCAGCGAGGAGGCTTGCCGAATGTTCAGTGTCTTCATTTATTATCATATCTCTTGGCCACACTGCTTTACATACATGTGTATGGATATTTCTGTCCAATCAAATGTCAGCCTCGTGTTGCCATGTCAATCTAATCTGCCTTGGGTGTCCAGGGTCAGTTGTGCTATTTGGGGGCAAAATCTGAATTAAAGGCAAACTACAAGTAACGCTCAAGTGAAACAGGAAGAAAAAATAAGTTGCCCATGTGCATTTATTTGGAACGGGAGAAACAGTCAAGCACGCAAGTGCAAAATAAAAATTCCGGTGCAAGGCTACACCCATTTAACACTTGCTCCTGTCAACACTGCGACCATTAAAACACATCTACACACTGAAATACAGTACATTTATTAATCAGCATTTCTGAAAAGTATATTTTGTTTTTGTCTGTGCTATTTAACAAATAGTGACCATGAACTGTTCCAGAAGATGGATGTGACACAGTTACACGCTGGCTGTTGTAGTTCATATTTGTGTAATATAGGTGATTCCTTTCCTGTAATTTGGATGAAATGATGATGATGTTATCACAAATAGTTTTTCACATTGCTGTGTTTATGTTAGGGTTCAGACTGTCAATAATGTCACTTTGACGGCCATCCTACATTTTAGAGCCATCTTAGCACACATGCTGTTGATGGTCCGGTAAATGCATCACCTGTCATCGGGGAGATTTGTTACACTACTTCTCTTCAAAATTGAGTACGTTATTATCCCTTTAAATTGCATTTATTTGCATGTTCAATAAACAAATGAAGTATTTGTGCCTAAAGCATGGATTATTGTCCTCATATCTAATATTTATGTCACACTGTCCCTTAAGGCATTCATTTGTTCAATTACCATAGATCGGATAACCGGGTGTTCCCTTCAGGGACAGTGTAAAATCATAGCATTCATCACACATCAAATTGTATATTTGCAAAAATAATATGGATGTTGTCTTCAGGTAGAATGTGCAATCATACTGTTCCATAAATAGAGGCAAAAGTTTCAAATCCCTATTGCTTTGTGCAGAAAATAATGTATCAGAAATTTTCACACTGTCACTGAAGGAAACACTCGTCTTCATTTCACAGTAAGATGGTATGATTTCAGCCTGTTGCCGAACGCAACATCGGTTTCATTCGCTGGATGGATAAATATGCAATGTAGTACTTATGTTTGAGGAAATTTGTAATGGTCGTTCGGTTGTCGTGCGATTTCAGAGCAGCAGCCATCTTCATTACATAAACCTGTATACTGTAACAATCTGAAACAATCACTTGGTTCTTGGGTGAAGACAGCTATGATTTTAGACTGTCACATGATGATATCAGTTATAAACAAATGTATACGAATATGATTGACAGTAACTAAGGGCATGAAGTCGCACTGTTGTGTGAAGAAGTCAGATCACTGTACCTGAAGGCAACAGCAGACCAGCCCTATCAAGTTGCTCGTCAACGTGTCATTGTTTATCTTAGCCAGCAGAGGGCGCTCCAGCATTAGTTCTCAGTACATCGTCGAGCTAGTCACTACTTTTGTGAAGAAACTTTTAAAGTCCAATTCGGAATTTACAGTGTTGAGAATTTGCTCAAATTCACGGGGCAAATACCATTTATTCACTACCATAACCTCGACTTGAGGTGACGATTTCATTGGGCATTCAGCTCACAATTTTAAATTGATTGAATGACGAACACAAACAATTTAAACACAATACCTGTCAAAAGCAAATATGAATGATAGCATCCGGGAGGCGTTTTAGTGCCTTCGGGGACGTTGAGAGCATGGCACAAGGTCACAGATGTTAACGGAGTGAGAAATGACGCTCTCGTTCCGCAGTCGCGCTCACCGCCTGCAAAGGTTAATAATGCCAGATGAGGAGAAAACCTCAAGTGGAACATTTATGAAGCGTTATATTATTACACGCTGCGCAGTCAACCTACCTCCCCACCTCCCACTCCCCAAGAGGGTGATTTCATCTCCTATGTCCCATTTCTGTCATGTACATTAAAAAATATAGATATTTCACATTTTGTGTTTTACTTACTGTATATTCATACAATGAAATCACATCTATTTTTGAGTTTCAATGTTGCTGGTTTTAGGAACAAATGTAAAAAGAAATATTAAAATTTAACAAAATACAGAGTTGCCATAAAAAAATGACATTATGGAAACGAAGGCCAAGAAATAACACATTTTAAAGAGAAACTGGTTCCAAGTAAACGGCTAACTAAACGTTTTTTTTTTTCTGTAGCAGCCAATAATTACCTCTTCCGAAGAACTCCCCCCCTCCCACCGGCTGACCTTCAAAAAATAAGATTGTTGTAGAATCACACAGTGCCGGAGCAGTGGGGGCGAGCCATAGCCTACACATCATATCAAAAAGACAGTTCTATTGTTCTGATGACATCATCTAATTATCTGTTAGCTTCATTGTGTTTTGTGCGAAAACCACAGTTGCGAAATAAAAATATTAGTATCAGAGCCGTTACAGATGGAGAATGTGGGATGCACATGGTATCCTCCTTTTGCTGCGTTCCATGTGTGCCTGATAATTTCTTATAGAAGCGGTTAAGATAAGGAAGAAGATAACATGATTGATCCATACAGCCTGGTAAGGGCATCAAGATGTCCTCAGTGTTGGCCCTTGCTTTAGGGCTGCACACAGGCACATGCACGTGTCACACGCATGCCCGCGCACACACTCACGCACGAACACGCACTTGGGACTGAGTGTTGCCCTCAGGGACAATTTGGAATCACATCAAACCCATAACAGACAAACTATTGTTAAATGATTATACATTCAATTGAATTCAGGTGTCGCCTTCAGGGACAATCTGAATTCAAGTAGTTTCCCGACAAAGCATGAAATATAATCATATAACCCCAAAGCGATTCTTTCATATTCCCTTCACTGTTTGGTCTGTCTATCTATATGTTGCCTTCATGGACAGTCCAAAAGCATACCCTCCATCACACAATAACCTCAATTATATCGGGCGTTGCCTCAATTATATCGGGCAATTGTATATCGGCAATTGTTTCATAACGCTAAGATTTTTGACTGTTCCTGATGGCAGCAAGATAGCTCGACGGAAAGACACATGAAATATCCGAAGACATGCCAAACAACTGGTTGTTTTATGAGGAAAAAGCTGATATCAGGCTGTCACTGAAGGCACCACCCAAAAAAGTCACTGTTGTTGCAGCGTAAAGTATGATTTCAGACTTTCCCCACACAACAACTGACACACGCACACAAAAATCCAGGATGAGCTTTTAAGAAGTTCTAAAAGCTTTTTTATTTCCCCAAAATCCACCGGGTACAAGCTCTCTTCGCATCATGTCCCACTTGTCGTCGCCGTGACGATGGGTCGAGTGATACCCTGAACGTGGATGGATTGGTCGCAACCCGGTCACCCCTGAGAAGGCCTGGGACACTTTTGGATCTTTTTTTTTTCTTGTTTTTCCATATTAAAAAAGGCCTTGTACTTAAAAAAACAACAACAACAAAAAACAATAATAAACAATAACATGATCTAATCTTCTATGGTACACATAACAATATTAACTCTGATAAAAGCTCTATATGTCCTCTATGGGATTTGTTTCTTCACTGAACCTCTCCAAGACAGAGTGAGGCCGGCTGCTTTTGTGAACGGAGAGGCGGTAGATGGCGGAGACTGGCTTTGTCACGACAGATCTCACACACACACACACACACACACACACACACACACACACACACACACACACACACACACACACACACACACACACACACACACACACACACAACTATACATATTGCACAATGAGAGAAAAATGCATAGGATGTGCTCCAGTATGATTTGAGAGGAGGAGTTGCCACATTGTGACAGATGGACAGGTGTGCATGGCGTGAGGAAACTGGTTGCTATTGCTTTTAAATGTCAACCTTGTGATCACCTGATTAGTTTTTTTTTTTGTGTGTATACAAATCAGATTTAAGGTGCTTTTTTTTTTGGTGGTTGCCATGGTTACACTGTGCTTTTGTTTTTTGGGTTCCCTCCCACACGCCATGCAGTGGCTGTCGATCAAACCCTCCTCCTCCTCTTCAGCGGTGGTCCATTTTTCAATAGGTGAAGTAATCCGGCGGTTCGGGTGGTGCCGAAAGGACACGAAGGGATCACCATGTGGACCCGTGAATGTCTTGGTTAAACGTTTTTTTTAAAAAAAGGGCATCAGGTGTGGCAGCGCTTTTCAAAGCGTGGGAGAGTGAATCTCCCCCAAGGGAAAAAAAAAAACAAAACCACAGACTGACGTCAGAGCTAAACAATTGAGACGTTTTGCCAATGTCAGAGTGTGCTTAGCATAAAAAAGTGCTTTACCTCACAAATACATTTGCTGATATAGCTGTAGCTGAAGTTAGCTTAGCACATCTCATTTATATA